CAGCCTGGCACACAGCTTCAAAAAACAAAGGGATAATGTCTCAAGGTGGAAGGCAAGGACGAACACCTGCAGTTGTCCTCTGACCTCCACATGTACACTGTGGCATGTATGCTCCTGCATACGTGTACATGCACACACGCCCCCATGGACACACCAAAAAAATGAAAAAAATTAGATGGAAAAGCTTTTACTGTTTAACATTTTAAGAACTATAATATGAGCAAGAGGGGTCATGGCCATGTTTCATAGTACTCATAGGAAAATGCAGAACCTCTACGAATACAAGAAACATGAACATTCCATTTGGGCCTCTTTGGGCTTAGTTTCTGATGTCCAAGTAGATACTGGGGCAGGATGACATGCCTTGGCACCCACTGGCAAATCTTTCAAGAAACTGATTCACTTTGGTCACTTTTCATTCATATTTTACCTGAAATTTATATGCTGCTTTCCATTCTCTAAATGAGCCAGCTTTTGGGCCATCTACGTCTCGTCTCCCTCTTTATATTTAATGGTGTAAGGAAGGTGTAAGGCAGGTGTAAGGCAGTAACTAGGAGACCCTCACCTCCCTTCTGCCTCCTGCCAGAATACAGCTAGCAACTTCTTTGTTTTTATTAATACGCCCTTACATATTGTGTCAGAAGAACACTAGAGTCCTAGGTTCAATATCACTCTTCCGCCACTGTTGTCATCATCCTTACCATAAAGGAGCAGTTTGTGGAAGAGGACACAGACTTCAGGGTAGCCAAACCTTCATGTGGAACCCTTCCAAAACTTACTAGGTATTACTTAGAGATAACTCAAATGAGGTTTTGAATCTTATGGTCTTCATTATAAAATTCAAGGCAAAAAAAAATTTTTTTTTTTTTTGGTCTTTTTGAGACAAGGTCTCATCTGTAGCCCCAGCTGTCCTGGAACTCACTACGTAGACCAGGCTGGCCTTGAACTCACAGAGATCCACCTGTGCTGGGATTAAAGGCGTGCGCCACCAGCTTGGCAAAAGTATTTTTAAGAATCTATCGACATAGGGCAATAAAAGTTGACTGTAATCTATACATTTCCATAGATGAGGAGTTTACAGAGATGACGCCACTGAATACATGTGAAATGGTATAATTCACACTCTATGTGTGTTGTATATGCATATACGTTTGTGAGCGTATGGTATGTGGGTACATGTTTGCATGTGCATATGGAGGCCAGATGTTGTTGATGAATGCCTTCTGTTTTTTTGTTTTTTTTTTTTTTTTCCCCACACAGGCTCTCTCATTGAACCTGGAGCTCACCAATTTGGCAAGACTAGCAGGCCATTGAGCAGCCAGGGACTATTCTGTGTCTACCTTCCCAGTGCTAAAATTGCAGCTGGGTACCACTATGCCCAGCTTTTAATGAGGGTGCTAGGGAAAGGAACTCAGGACCTCGTGCTTAAACAGCAAGCACTTTACCAACTCAGTTATCTTCCCAGCACTTGTAATTCATACTATTAAGATAACCTTTCATATAGAAAGAGAATGGGAGACCAAATATATCTGGAGGACTCTCAGGTTAGAAACCTTCATCTCTAAAGTTCTGGTTGGTCTGATAAGAGTGTTCCCCATCACCCCCTCTGTGATCTTACATTAATTAACCTCTTTGTGCTTCTACTCTTTTGCCTATAAGTAACATCGGCCCATAATTTCTGAAGTGTTGCTGTCAGCACTTTACATAGCCTTATTCCACATCACAGTATTAAGGGGGTACATGCTTCCTCACCTGAACCGTATGAATGAAGAGACTGAGGCACATGGCTTTGGCTGAACTTGTTCTGGACTGAATTCAGGTGTCACCTCAGCCCAGATATCTTAAGTACCCAATAGATGTGAACTCTCAGGCTTCCTCACAAAGTCCTCCAACCAGTTGTTTAATTACTTGTATGTGTGATTCATTTGAAGTCTACAGTGTGCTGATGTTGAGGCTAAACTACAGGCTGTTTGCAAGTGGAAGAGGAACAGCTAACGCTCAGAGTGAACTTAGTTTCTCAAACATCTCTGCATGGTTCCACTCATTTCTTTGGATCGATGAGTGAGAAGGAAAAGTGATATGACTCTGAGGAATAGAGCAGCCACAGGAGCACCTGGTCTTCCCAGACCAAAGATACCTACCTACTGTGAGTTTTGGCAGCACCCACCCTTTTCCCCTGGTGGTCACAATCTACAGGCATGTGAGTGTGTATGCATGTGTGTGCCAAATCCAACCTGTGTGTGAGGAGATCCACGGAGGAAAAAGAACTCAGAACACCAAATCACAGGTACCTTTTCAGACTAAGCTTTTATTTTTGATATTACAAACCAGTTTTCTTTATTCACAAACCACTGTAAGTGATATAAACACTAATTTCTAAAGACAGATATACACATTTTCTGGGTTTGCAGATTGAGTGATGTGTGTTAAGAAGTCACTATATGCCACATTAATCTTTTTTCCATAATTCATAATAGCAATAGTTATTTAGATAAATGAAAACATTCCAAATAAATACTTAAAAAAAATCCAAAATGTTTGTTTACACCTCTGACATAACATTTTAAAAGGACTTAGTGGCATCTCAGCAGAGTGCCTAGACAGAAGATTCTGCGACATCGGTTGGCACCCACTTGCTCTAAATGATTTTATTAAAACTACATACAGTCATGGGGAAAGTACATTTCATTGATGAAAATCAAAACTGCAAATGATTTTTACTTTAACCAGCACAGTAAGAATTCCATGTTTGTGATTCCATACACAATGCAGGTTCTGGGCTTTGAAAGCTGGTGCAATTGGGAGGAATCTGTTCATTCTTCAGCAGCCCCCTGTTCTGTTCCTGTCTTTATCCTGTCTAGAGTCAACTGCTATAGCATCATAATAAACTGTTGTCTTGGATAACATCAACCAGGCACACACTGCCAATCACCTGTACCAAGTGGGGGCTGAGAACTTTTGGTGATACCAAATGGCCCCTGGCCCTACCCCTCCTCCCCAAAGACCAATTTCTAGACTTTTCTCTGCCTAGCAGTCCCCGCCCCCCGCCGACTTCCTTTTCTGTCTCCCAAATCTTGATCATCTGTCTTAGCTATCAAAGCTACAGAAACTTTGTTTTCAAATCTCATGAAACTTTATTGATGGTTAAATGTCCAACCGATCTTACGGGCATGCACGTAAGGATGATGAGGGAAAGCTGGATCACAAACACTTTTTTTTTTCTTTTTAAAGTTTTGTTTGGTTTTCATCTTAAAGCAGAGTTGTTACAGCGGATTGGCAGGTTCACAGCGTGAGTGGATAACTTACTAAAGTGCGTACCATCTGGCCTGCACTGCACACAGAGGCAGCAACACTAAGGGGAACGGCTTGCTGCTTTTTTAATTTAAATACAAAACAGGAAGACCCGTGACAGATACCCCAACTTAGGTTAACTTGTAAACAGGACAACATGGGAGGAGTTCAAACAGAAGAAACTCACACAAGCTGCAATTTGTCGGCTGTTTTGCTCTGGCCCTGCATCCGACATCCGAGAAAGGATAAGGGATGACTTTGTTCTTTGAGGAGGAAGAGAGTGGTTCTGGTTTTCTGTTGTTGTTTTTTATTTTATTATTTATTTATCTGTTTTTTTATTTATTTATTTTTTTTGCTTCCTTCTGACAAGTGTCCTGGGCCTTGGAAACAGAATTAAAGATACTGGTTTAAGATAATTCTGGGGCACTGAGGGAGAGGTGGAAGGGCAGGCTCTCACAGACCGAAAAATTGCAAGTTGTTCACAATGCAGTCGTGTTTCAAAAAGTATCAAGCTGATGAAAATACCGTGATTATCTCTACTCAATGATTGCAATACTTGTAAAATGCATCTATAAATCCAGATATGATTATCATGATTCCATAAAAATTATACGTCTGTCTCTAACAATTATTCTACTCAGCTAAAACTAAAGCCTCATATAGACTGTCTCTAGAACGTAACTCCACTGCACAGATGGAAATTTTATACATATTTTAACTGGTACAAAGAATTTAAGTTTTTATTACTTTCTTTTTTTGGAAAAAAAGAAAAAAATAGAAACAGTGCTTTTTATCACCTTTTTATTAATGTTATTTTTTTCCCTCCCATAATATAAAAGTCAGCAGTGATATCAATAATTTATTATACTGGAAGAAATATAAAAAGAATGCTTATTGATGGCCTAACTAGTAATCTTTGCTTAAATAACCAGTGGCTAGGTAAGAAGCTGAATACTGCCTGCTGGAATGATAATAAAGGTGGACGTACACAGCTTCCTTCGACTCCCATCGATGCTGCAAGAAGCAGCTTCTTAATAGAACCTTTGGCTTGACATGGCCACGAGTAACTTAGAACCATTGATTTACGATTGTTGGTGCAGTGGGTCATTTAGATTCATCAGTTACTATATATATAATTTTTTCTTTCGGTCGAACCCCAGTCCCTAACCCCTAAGTCCCTCCCGGCCTCCCCTTTGACAAAATAAAATAGATGCAGAAAGAATGACTGGTCACTTATACTCTTCCCGAACAGCTTAACCCCAGTAGCTTCGTGTTCAGCATATATAATTCATTTACATAATATAGCACTCTGGATATGGCCCTAAACCAGTTTGGATTCATATCTAGTGTCTCTCTAGATCAACCACAAAAACTCCTACAGCCAGCAACCGAACTATGGAAACCTTCAGAAATCAAAGACCCACAATATTAAAATACACAGAACAAAATATCTGAGGTATAAGATAAAAAATGTAATTTTTTTCCTCTTTTTATTTTTAGTTGTTTTTTTTTTTTTTTTTTTTTTTTTTTAAACTTTACTGAGAATTCCATACATGTATTTAAGGTGTTTTGATAAAACCCATGCCCACTCCCTCCCCTCCAACACCTCCCAAATTTCCCCATCACTTTTTTTTTTTTTCTTTTTTTTTTTTTTTTTTTTTTTTTTTTTTTTTTTTTTAAATGATTTTTGTCACTCAGTATGGAGCAAAACGGTTGTATCCCCCTCGGTATATACTAGCCTGCAATGAAGAAAGAACGAGACCCACATCATCAGCATGGCTCCTAGTCTTGGCATCAGTCAAGGGCGCAAAAGCATTCTGAAACAAAGCAATTTGAGGTGTGTGTTTTTTTACATTTTTCCTTTTGTAACATGTGGATCATCAAAAAGACTAATGTCGAAAAAAAGACACTCAAAACCAACCAAAATGGTGGGGGGCGGCATCCCCTTCCCAATCCCAGGGCTCTTTCAGGAAGCTAAAAATAGGGCCAGTCCTGACCTCTCTATAGCAACTCCTTCTAAAGAAAAATCCCTATGACATCAAATTGTGTCAGGCAGTCCTGTTAGCTATGAGGACTCTCTAGTTCACAAATGGGACAATGGAAGGATTTAAACTGTCTTGTTTTATTGGTTTGTTTCTTTGATGGATGGATTAATTGACAAGATGTTCCCCTGGGGGAAACTTTATTTATATTCAAGGATGATTCTAGACAATTTATTGAATGTAGGGATTCAACTCTCCATTCCAACCCTTTCCTCGATTGACGTAGGTGTCGAAGCAGAGTTGCTGAATGCCAAATCAAGATAAAAATAAAAGCCTGCATCTTTGATTCCGCATGACACCCTATGAACCTGACCTTGTGAGGGGAGCAGCAGAGGGGCCCTGCTGGGTGTAGCTGAACTTGTGCAGAACAGTACGTTTTCCAAGTCCTGGTTGGGTTTCTACGACCAGGTTCCAAGGAATTGTCTGACTGTAGCTTTCTCTGGTTATGAGGTGACACTTAACCATTTCCCTTTGCTAAAAGTATTGGCGATTCCAGTGAATGCCTGTGGGGTTGGTTTTTAGGGTCAGGGCTGATATTCTTGACTCAGGCAGAAGACTACATGCCAAAGCGCAGGAATGATCGATAGGCCCTCACGCGATGGGCACGTCTTACTGGACTCAAGAGTTTTAGTGCATAGAAGTTTGAACAAGTACAGGCAAATTCACCCACCCTCACCCCCCACTTTTCCCCTCCCCTTTCCCCTTCCCCAAACAAAATCCCAGACAGCCCACCCCACCCCCCAAGGAAAAAAAAACAAGACAACCCCCAAACCCAGCTGATTCCTTAATTTCTTATGTACTAGGCACACACACAGCGTGCCCCTCTGTCTACTTTCTCTCCTGGGCGACTATGACTTTAAACATGAATTGTAAAAGGGGAGGAGAGGCAGGCAGATTCTCAGCTGCCTGACAGCAGAGGCCTGGAAGTGTGCAGCTTAGCTCCTCTGAAGTCTGTGCTGGGGCTGGAACCTTGGGGCTATGTGAATGGGCAGCAAAGGAGGGAAGGAAAAAAAAGAAAAAAAAGTTCTGCATTGACACTGCATTCCGTTAGTGATGGATTTAATTATCAAAATGACTAATTATTCCATTAAGGTAAGTGCTCGCTAGGTGAGACTTGCAAAATTAGAAATATAATAACTTACATGCACTACATTGCCAAGAAATTAAGACATTTATCAAGTTTACTGGGAGGATTAATGTGGCATTTTAGCTGCTGTTAGCACAAGAGACAAATTCAATTAAGGGGAAGTGAGAGCCCTTCAACCATCAACCCGTACTGAGGCCCCAGCTGGGGGTTGGGAGGGAAGGGGAGGGAGGCAGGAAGAGCAGAGGTGGAGGAGAAATTGTTACTCACCATGGCACCAACGCCGTAGGTGGGGGCTGGAGCAAGTGTGTGGTGGTAGGGGTCGGCAGCATAAACTCGTCCGTAACTGAAAAGAAAAACAGAGGTGAAGACTGGTTCGTCACATGCAGTTACAGAGCAGAAATACCAATCAGAAGATACAAAACACGGAGACACTGTGCAAGGGGGTACTCATCCTAAGACATGAAGCATTTCCCATTCTCCCATGGGGTATGAAGAAGGTCCCCTGTGGTTCATTGAACATTAGCCGGTCACATCAATGTATTCAGTATGTACAGTCATGTGCAGCTTAGTGATAGGAACCTGTCTGAGAAGTGCATTGTTGAATGATTTTGTCTTTGAAACATCCCAGTGTACACAAACCAAGACAACCTTGGTGGTAAAATCTTAGAAGACCCCTGCCATAGGTGTGGTCTGTTGTTAACTGAAACACCACGTGACACGTGACTGTACACACACACACATACCCTGTCCCCACATATAGCACCTCTGTACAGCTGATGTACACCCCACAGTTTGAGGCAGGTGGAAGCCAACACTAGAAAGACTGGTCTTAAGCCCAGTGCCCCAGAGAAGTCAGAGCTCAAGAGAAAACGTCTTATTTTCTGATCTGGGTGTCACCAAAGAAATCTGATAGGGTGCATCAAAAGGGTACAGTGATGGCTCTGTGAAGCTACTGTCCCACAGGTCAGACTGTGACTGAAAGAGCGGAGACACTGTGAAGGGTCCATGGTGCCCCCAACCCCTAGTCCCACTCAGGAATCTTAGCATCCCAGTGTCTCATCCATCCTTGACCAGGTTCTTGGGAGACAGCCCTTCAAAGCAGTATACTCTAATGCACTTCCTCAACTTTTGAATCTGTCGACCATCTTTGTCTGTTCTCTGCCACGGCTTCCAGGACTTGCATTAGAATGAAAATGAATAAAGGATGGAGACCAAATGCACTGTCTAGTGCGTTTCCGAATGAAGCACTGCACACATCATAAGTTAGAGTTCACTTGTTCTAGGTGACATAGCTACAGAGAATCAGAGCTGACCAGTGAACATCCCAGGGTGACCTGTAGTCGAGCCATAATACCACATTCTGTTGCCTGTTTGACAGGGCAGGTATCTTCCTAGAGATGTTTGAACAGTGACATTTTGTTACTGATTGAAGCTGAGATGCAATCTTAGGGTAAGTTCTCTGGAAGGAGGCCTGACATGGAGACTCTAGTGCAAGTGATTTATGGAGAGGTGCTCTCAAGAGGAGGAGAGAGAGCAGAGAGAGAGGCAGGCAGGCAGGTTAAAGTAAAGCCAGAGAGGGAAGCAAGGAGGGGTAACTGGATGTCTTCAATCTGATCTTGTGGGTTACATGTTAGAGCTGGTCTCATCTGGTGGCAAGTGAGTTAGTTTTCCAATACTCATGTAATAGGAGCATCAGCTGAGGGCTTTCCTTCGGGTGGGGGATTTAGCACCTGGCTGAAGAGGCTTTCTTGGACAGAGAGCCATGTACTGAGGAGGGAGGGCTATACTTCATTAGCCAGCAACACTCACAACGGCTGGGGAATGGACATACCAGTCCCTCAGTGACATCTCTGCATTTTCAATAGCTTTTGACTCAGAATTTTTTTTTTTAATGAAGGGACAAACAGGAAATGGTTTGTCTGCTGTATCAACCATAAGCTCATCAGCAGTTCCTTGAAATCCAATGTGTATACCCTTAATTCCTCTCTTTATTTTCTGCATATTTTCCTTCCAACCATCTTCCTCATAGTTAAACCAGAAGGTTACCCAACAACCTGGAAGAGGGCCAAAATCTAGGAGCAAGACCCAGGTTCAAGTCTTGCTCTTCTGGTTACTACTGAATGAGAATCTACTGAGTAGGCCTGGCTTGGTTGTTCATACTGTGGAGCGTGGGAAGGTGAGCTAAACTGAATGGAGGAACTTCCAAGTCTCTGACACCAAGTTAGACCCCAAATAGAAAAAACAATGGATGTTCAGGTTCAGCATGGACATTCCAACAGCCAAGCTCTTCTTGCCTGTTTCTGAGGATACTGAGGTGAAATAGCCTAATTGAGGCAGTCATCTGTAACCCAGAGCTCTCCTAATCCTCAGTAGCAATGCTGTGAATAGCTACTTCTTTTCAGACTTAAAAAAAAAATTTATGTGTATGAACATAATGCCTACATGTAGGGATGTATACAGGAGTCACACAATGCCTGTGGAGGTCAGAAGAAGGCGCCGGATACCCTGGAACTGGAGTTCCAGACAGTTGTCAGCTGCCATGTGGGAGCTGAGAATCGAACCTGGATCCTCTGCAAGAGCAGCCAGTGTTCTTAACCACCGAGCCATCCTTCCAGCCCCCCAAAGCTGCTACTTCTTAGAAGGACATTTCTCAGTGAAACTAACAAATAGTTCCTTTTAGCTTTTCATTCATTGAAGTACCTTTCTGTCCCATTTTGTTCACCCCAAATATCTTTCATCAGAGAGTCTACTCTCTGGGGGGAAATGAGATGCAAAGTGAAGACATAAGGGCTGCTGAAGTGAGAATGAAGTTATCTTAAAGAAATTAGATTGTTACAGAGGTCACTCAACAGGCTTTGGTCTCAACCTAAGAAGGAGCTTCTATGGGGGGTGAGAAAAAAATGATACATCATTTTAGCACTGAGCTTCGCTTCATGAAAAAATGGTCCATCAATGCTCTAGAGAAAAGCCTACAAATAAGATTATTTTCAATACACTTTCTATCTGACAAATTTGGTTATATGAACAGAACTGAAATGAAAAAGAATCATAGGGAGTATGTTAGGTGATAGAGTGCTTCTTGAAAACAAATGTGAAGATGGAAATTGAGCACAAGTTTTATTTTCTTTAAGAATGGTTTTACTATGGCAAAAATGTCTACTTTGGGCTGGGGAGATAGCTCAGTTGGTAAAGTGCTTGCCTCAAAAGCTTGAGAACCCAAGTTTGCGTCTCAAAAGCCACTTAAAAAAAAAAATCCAGGTGTGGTGGCACTTGCTTGTGATCATGCACTAGGGAGGTGGAGACAGGCAGATGGATCCCTGGGGCTCACTGGCCAGCCAGCTCAGCATTATTGTTTAGGCAAGTTCTAAGTCTCAAAAAGACCATGTCTCAAAAAAAGGGTCTATGCCTAAGGAATGACATTGGAGGTGTTCCTCCTGTCTCTGTCTCTGTCTCTGTCTCTGTCTCTGTCTCTCTCTCTCTCTCTCTCTCTCTCTCTCACAGGCACACATGCACACCAACACATGCACTTTTAAGGAGACAACCTAAATGACTGAATAAAAACATAGCCTTCATCTTTTTGTTCAGTACTTTAATCCTTTTGAGACTCTAATACTGGGCATAACTTCAACCTGTGCAGAAAACCCAAGCAGCAGTTCCAAACTGTTCCTCACAAATGAGAAGATCTTTTTCCTCAGGGTGACCTCTACCTTCAGAATACGATGGTTTTATTATGATTAATAAATTTCATTTCCACAGAGGAAGAGGGACCATGTCAGCTCTAGGAAAGCAAGGAAGCTTCTTTTCAAATGCTAATTTCCAAACACGCCCTTGTGTGACACTACAATTTAGACACAAGGTTATTAGGGAAGATGGGAACTTGAGTATTACTTCAGCAGCAGATATGCCAGGCACGTCAGCAACCCAATGTCCTCAGAGCCGGCTAAGCACAACCCCAAGAAAGAGCAGCAATTCCCAGGGTCCTCCACAAGAGCAAGGGAGACGTGCCTTAAGGGTGCCATGTTAAGATCTGACATGAGATGGCATTATCATCCACTCCACCATCTCTGGCCAAACTGAACATCAAGTGATCAGAACATGAGGTTCTCATGGCCTCATTTCCCACAAACCAGCCATCTCAGAAGAGACATTAAGTGTGCCCACTGTGTTCCATATTACCACTCTGATAGAAGACACCAGTGTTTCATCAGAACCAACACCACCTCTGCCCACTCTTATTTCTTCAAAACAAAGTCATCTGCATCTTTCGGATTCATACAGTCTGTCTATCCATCTGTCCTTTGATTCCATCTATCCCTCCATTTCTCTAATTAAATGTAAATCTCTATAGATCTTCTTCCATCATTCTTCTGCTTTAAAGCCCTCCAGTCCTTTTCCATGTATTCCACAATCATATCTTCTGTTCATCTTTCAATCCTTGTTCCCCTGTACCTGTGATCACTGAGTCCCTGGAACTCTGGTTTCATAAGCCTTAGGCACTGGCAAAGCTCATCTCCAGACCTGACTATTTGCTCTGTTTCCACCCGAACTATTTTTTTCAACTATTAATGTCTCAGATGCCATGTCCAAATGTCACTGCCTCCTCTGATCTGACTACTCTTTTCTAACAATTTCTTTACATCATTATTTGTGTGTGTGTGTACACTTATGAATGTGTGTGATGGTCAGAGGATAGCTTGCAGGACTCAATTTTCTCTTTCTACCATATGGATCTTAGGGATCAAACTCAGGGATCAAACTCTGCTTGGCAGTAAGCATCTTTATCTGCTGAACCATCTCACCATCCCTGACCACCCTTTCTGAAGGACACTTCCCAGGCCTGGCTGTACCCCTTTGTGTCCCACAGCATATCTTTGATAATTCTGTTTACTTCTTACCTGATTCTTTACCTTTCCCCTTTCATGGTAGAAGAGAGGCCCATGGGGCTCTATGGAGGCTGTATCTGTCCTGCGGATGGACCACATGGGTGAGGGAAGAGTGAGCATGAGAGAAGTGGGCTTTGAAAGATGTTTCTACCTTACTACAATTCTTTCAGTAAGTTTACCTAGTAGATTTTGTGTGTGTGTGTGTGTGTGTGTGTGTGTGTGTGTGTTGCATGTATGTGAATGTTCACATCCTTTATGAGAAAGATAAATATTTAGATGGAAGAAGGCGTTTGCCTCTTTCGCTGGCTACCTCATCATGTTTACAGCCATAAGACCTCATCTTTTTTGATATCAATAATATTGCTAGAGCAAATATGAAGTGGGGAGAAAGCCAAGGGCTGGGGGGCAAGAAGCTCTATGTTCAAGTCCTGCTTTTCCCTGTCTTTGCTCTCCCAGTTCA